TAATAGTGTACAACAAGGTGAAAGAGGACAGAAGTGTAAGAAGGTTTATGACTAGAATTTTGTGTATTTGTTAATGATGAATCCTTTGTGTAGTTACCAGTGAAACTTGAAGAATTTACGTAATTGTTGTCTGAATATTAAGAAATAACCACGCAGTGATTATGTAAATCTCTATATTTTGTTTTGCTTAGGGTTGTCGTTAGGTAGTCATTACCAGGATTTTTATGCTGCTTGTTAATTAAGAAATAACTGTGCACTCATTATGGAAAACAGGATTTTTCTCAGCCTATTACAGGGCACCGTTTTGGAAAATTGAGAAAAGTGGTTATCAGTTAGAATTTAAGGCCCTGCTGACACAGCAGCTGAGTCAGGGAACCTACCAGTACGTATTCCAGGGGCAGGCAAAATACAGCCCACCAAGACATTCTATCCGGCACGCAGGGCCCCTAAAAATGTAGAAAATTAATATGTATTTGCTCCTGGCTGCCTGTCAAAGATGACAGGAGCCCGGGGCAGTAGGGCCCAGGGGAAGCCAGCGGCTGGACCTAGGGAAAGCCAGCAGCAAGGCCCTGCCCCTACAACCAGAACTCAATGCTTAGCAGAGTCTTCTGGCCTGGGACCGTGGGGCTGTTCCCGCTTCTCTGCTCCAGAGAAGGAAACACGGCCCTCAACAGCTTGCGAAACTCAGTAGGTGGCCCTCTGTCCAAAACAGTTGCCTGCCCCTTACGTACGTTAACTTCTCGTAACTCCTGGCAGTTTCTGAAAGAGCAGTGCAGATCTGCTTCATCAGCTCTGCTGGCAGCACATGTACCCTTTGCAATACACAGATACCAAAGAGACCATGTCAGTTGGCAGAAGGGATGGGCAAGACCATGCGTGTCTTCTGTCAGTTCTTGTGTGGCTGTAGCAGATTCCTTTTGCATAAAGGGGTCACATTAGTCTGCCCTCAGAAAGAAGGGTTTCTTTCTTCACAGAACAGCTGTGTGTGTGGATACACTTAGAGCTTTGCTGGCAGTATTATATCATATCATCAATACCATCCTGTCATCCCTATACTTCAGTTGGTTGAGATAGTTTTAGATTTGTATAACGTGTTTGGGGGTGGATTACAGTTGAGCATATTAATATAAGTGTTTTCTGTATCTAAAAAATGAACAAAGCTGTATCCAGTTCCACTCAAAGGGACTTCCTATTTAAATATCTCTTTGCTATTGTAGAGTAATTTGTTACTTTTATTAATTCATATTTCAGTATCATGTGGAGGCAACAATCAGAGTAGATTATCTTTTTGTGGTGTGTGTGGTATACAAATTTAGGAGAGATACATGTGCAGCTCTTTGAGGTGTTGCTAATACCATTCCAACCAACATACCTAGGTGTAAGAGATGAAATATTGCATTGATTTTATTGTGAAACCTGTGGCCTCTTTTGTAGCCACCTTTTTGTATTTCTTGCCATTCATGTTTTTGGTAGCATTAGAAAAATGTCAAGTTTGTCCTGGTACCACATTTTTCACGTGTATATTAGAATTTGTTCCATGAGCTAAATGGCCTCCTGCATTGAAATCCACTAGAGATTTTATTTATTTTTGGATGTTTGGAATGGCTTTTCTGCTAACCTCCTTCATTGTGGCTTGACCTAGAGTGTATCTAGATGGATGCTGCCTTTCCTAGGCTGTTATGCACTGCTAGAAGTTAGAGGAGGTGTTGAATTTCTGCTGCTTCCAGATATTGTCTGAATTTCTTATTGGCTTTCTTTTCTGTTAACACTACTTAAAGGTTGTAATTACCTCAGTAAATTTAATCTCCTTAACGTACGCACTTTAGGAGCAGGGGACACTGGGGAAGGGGATGCTACACCAAAAGAAAGTTGCATGGAAGGTTCTTGCATCATCCTAGAAATGGATTTTTTGTGGAGCTACAGGCTGCCCAAATAGTGACCTTTTCTGGGACGATGCTAGGAAACAAGCCAACTGCTTGTGGCCTTCCTGCTCTGTAGTCCAGCACGTTTTGTTTTGGGAGTGGATTAGACATGGGCCTAATATATGGGCTCCCAGAAGAGGCTGTGTTTTATTGGATGTGGGGAACTGAGCATCACAAATTGACTTTTTAGGTGTGGTTGGTATTATTGTTGGCTGCTAGTTCAAGCAGTAGGAGCGTAAGAATAGGAAAACATAGATACAGAAAGGGGGGAAGGGTTTGTGGAACCCATTTGTTTCAGCCTGGCTTGTAGCCAGTGCTGGGGGGGAAACGACAACGATTCAAGCCAGTGATTTAGGCAGGAAGAGATTCTTGAACTGCCAGCCTCTCCTAAACTTTCTGCTTCTGCAGTGAACTTTTTATTTCATAGTAGAAAAAGTTGTTCAAAAAGGAAGTTGTTTTTATTAATTTTCTCGCATGAAAAGTATTGCTTGGAATAGAGTTCAATAAAAACATGCTTGCTCACAGCTTAGTTTTGAACAAATTTATTGTATGTCATTTTACTTGTTAGAAGTTGCTTGTGTGGGTGAGTTTTGTGTAGGCTTTTGACAGCTCTTTTGTAGCAAAACTTTTTCTTACTTCCCCAGTTCCTTAAAGAGTGAACAATAGTGCTTTTTGGAAAAAAAATCAGTAAATCACTTGAAATGAAAACTTAGTTTGTGCCAGTTGGGCCAACTCCTGAAATCTTTATTTGGGCAGAAAGCATGTTTTCTTCAATAACAACTGTTGAATTTTTGGATTTGGTCCTGTGTCAGAAATTCAATCTGTATTTATGTGGGGAGCAGCGGGAGAGGAAGGGGGGGCGGGAACACCTTGGTTTGAGACCTGAGAGGTAAATGAAAGAGGGCATGGCTTGCACACCTTTTATTCTAAAATGTGCAGATCTCATCCAGTTTTTGAGCTCTGAAAAATGTTTGCTTTTTTTTAGATACAAAAACCACAAAAGGCTCTGAAAGCTGGGTCTTCTGCTTAAGCCCAAATATGCTTTGTTATCTCTATCTTGGTATTTGTGAAGCTTCAGGAAACAGAAACCGTATAAAATGAGCTCTTGGCCATCCACAGTTCAGTCTTTATTCTTGATAAAGTCTACAGTAAGTACAGTGGTCCAGCTAAACCTATGGTACAAATGGAGCACAGCAGAGGTTACTTTGCACTTCCGTGTTAGTTAAAGCAAGCCTCCAGCAACCCATACCTACTGTGATCCCAAATGGGCTGTTCCACAAATTACAAATAGGCCATGCTTTATTTGTCCTATACTGGATGCTGGATAACACAAAACGACTTCATACACACAGAACTAACCAGCTCCTTTGCAAAAGGGTATTGACAGAGGTGCTTCTCTCTCCAAGTATCATTCATGGCACTGCGCTAGTATTTCTCTTTTTCCCATGATAAAGCTCCTGGCATCAGGTTGTGAGGAGGAGAAGCAAAGAGCAGTTGTGTTAACTCAGCACATGCAAAGACTCCCCTTACAGTGGGGTAATTTCCTCTGAGTCAGTTAAGGAAGTGTTATGATTCCTTTATGTTGGAGGCAATAATAAAGGATCATAATGAGCCTTATGCACTGGTACAGTTCCAAGATTTATACCAGTGGTTTTCAGAATGTGTTGTGCAGAACCCTGGGGCTAGGGACAGACATTACACACATCTGGTTTAAGTGATCAGAAACGGGTTTAACCCTGTAATAGAACAGATGTTCAGTGCACATAAACCAGTTTGAAAATGGCTAAAACCAGTTTGAGATAAACCAGGTTGAATGTAGTATCAGACTTAACTGATTTGGTTCAAACTGGTTTATGCAATGTCTGTCCCAGACCCCTTGCTCATTTAAGATAAACCAGACACCCCCAGCATCCTGGCTTCTGGGCTCGGCGGGGCTCTCTGCTCCACTGCAGGGCTGGCCCCTCTGCTCTGCTCCCCAGCCTGAGCAAAGACCGAGGTCTGGCCAGAGAGAGGTTTAATTCCCCCCTTCCATGTGCCACCAGCAGGGACCTGATCCAGACACAAGCAGTTTGAGGGACTACCCTATCATATCAAGGTCTGCATCTGAATCCAGAGAGTTGGCAACTGAGAGCACATTGCTGCGGCTTTTGATTTGCATGCTGCTCAGGACTAGCCTTTTGGGTTTTATGATATTAATTTCCTATATCACATGATGACTTTGACATTCACAGCCAGTCTTCTGTTATAAATGCTCAAGAGTTGGGAATTAGAACATCCACTACTAGCTTCAGGCTTCTTATTCATGTGTGGCTTAAACAAATCATTTCCTTGCCAAAAACAGTTTTTGGTAATGATGACCACAGCATGTCTAAATAGTTGCTTGTACTTGTTGAGAACTGCATAGGGACTTTTTTTAATCAGTCAGCTCATATCCATGTTATATTTTGAGTGCAGTTTATAATCATTTCTCAAAAACACCAGTGGTGCAGGTGGAACAAGTGGTGCTTGAAATGTTTCAGCCATACCCTGTTACTGATCGTACTTTATGTTCAAGCTCAGAGAGTCATCTGGCCTATTTTTAATCATAGAATCATCAGAGAATTGCCTAAATTTGCACTCCAGGTACATATGTCTATCACAATATATACCAATATTTTTGTGTCTGACTTTTATTCTGCCGTTAGTACTTAAAAGGTGCTAATTTTCAGTCCAGATAATGTTTCAAAAATATATTGCTGATATATTTTCTTAAAAACTTATTACTGTAATATGCTTTACCGATTTCCAGATGAAGTCAGTGGAGCCACGCAAATGCTTTGAAAGGGAAGTCTGCGTTTTATTTTTTTCAGTAGTACGATACTCCAGGTGCTAATACCATAAGCATGACCTAAGAGCCTAGATGGACATTTGAATTTTCTTACAAACTGAATGATTTCTTTGTCATATTTCATGTTACCACATGACAACAATCAGTATATTTGTACTCAAGTTCCTCTTTGGATAAAAGGCTCGGACAGAGGGGGCAGTTTGCTTTAGCTTGCTGAATTGATTTTTTCCCATTTTGTTCTTTGTGGGCAGATGGAAAGAATGGAAAGAAACAGAGATCTTAGTTTGCAGACACAGGGCAACATGGAGCAGTCCTTCACTGTTAGTTCATTGGTAGGTATTATAATATGATGCTCAATTAAAGTATTACCTTCTATTTCAGAACAGCGAGTAAATGATATCATCAAGTGTAGTTTAGGTGTATTGGCTGCCAGTTGAAAAGTTTTTCCAATGTTCTGTCTCCTGCCCATGTGTTCTTTACCCATTTGCTCCCTAGTCTGGGACATTTTAAATGTACATGAAAATAAAAAGTACACTTGATTTGTTAGGTTGCTCTCTAACCTGTTTTAACTATTATCTCCCTCCATTTTTTAATCTACAAAGACTGAGCCTTTAAATAAAAGAAGAAGTTGTTTCTCAGCATAGTAATTCCTTTCAGAATAGCATGAGAAAAAATTAATTGCATTCTGAAACGTGGCTTCATTGTCTATTGTTTTGTTTATTAATATTTATGTTCATTGTTTAAATATATAAGAGTAATACTGAAATGAGGTATTGATTTGATTCTGCAATCAAGCTGAGCCCAAGAGTAAGCACCACAATCATTAGGAAGGGTTTCTAGCATCAGGACCTAAATATAATATGTTCAGTTCCTATAGATCGGACCCTTTGTGGGGGATTCATATCTTAGGAAATCTAGGTGGCTGTCCTGGCAGGATTGTTCTTGCATTTCTTTTAATCCTTATCTTTATTTCTTTATTTGTTTTTTCACAATATTTAAATGTTGAGGGTTTTTTAAATACAGTTATTTTGTCATTTTTAAAGTAACTGAAGAAGCATGTTAGAAGCTTTTCATTGTTGCCAATACTCGGGGTACTGGAGTTTTTTTGTTGTTTTTTGTTGGGTTTTTTAAAAGGTTAAAAGTTTTCCCCAGGTGTCTTGAAAAAGGGAATACGTGAATGAGGTGGCCCCAGCCAGACTGAAGTGTAATCTCTGATGTGTTGACTGTTTTGCAGAAAAAGCTAACTGCCATTCCTGACCACACAGATGTTTCTGTGACCCCAGAGGAGCGAGTTCGTGCCTTAACCAAGCTTGGCTGTAATATCACAATAAATGAGGATATTACTCCACGTCGCTACTTCAGATCTGGAGTAGAGATGGAACGAATGGCATCTGTATATCTTGAGGAAGGAAACCTGGAAAATGCTTTTGTATTTTATAATAAGTTTATAACGTAAGACAGTCTCTTATGTTTGTAGTTAATGATTGTGATGGATAGATGGATATAATGAATTGCTGCAATGAAAATGTGGCTCAGGAGTCCACCAGTCTAAAACTTGGAAAAACTATTAATGATTTTTGTACAGAATATCTTTGTCCTTCTGAGATCTTTATGCTAATCAGTTCCTCTGCCAGGCCTCTTGTTATAATACCTAGTGTAGCTGTCCCATTTGCCTATTCACTACTAGTCCTGGTTTATGTTTAAAGTGCTACATTTGTTTTTTATTCTGCCAAGCTAAGATGTGAACTCTATCGGCTATCTTATTTTCTGTTTATATGCACATGATGAAAACAGACCACCAGAAGCTTCACAAGCTCACTTAGCTCAATTTATAAGCTTTCCCAGATGAGCATCCTCAGCATCAGTGCAGTCAAAAGACTGGTTTTTTTCTTGCACTCAAGCAAACCATACAAAGGGGCTTATTGCATCTTTTCCTGCTGCTTTTCCACAAAAAGGTTAGATAGAATTTATCCCATAATTTTAAAAAACTATGCAAAATGTACTGTACATGCTTGACATGTGATTTTTTTTTCTCTTCTTCCTCCCAAAGATTTAAAAACAAATTACACTATAGCAATCAAGAGACTTCTTAATTGAGAGCTGTTTCCATAACAGATTAAAGCTTTCTAATCAGCCATTTTGTTTCTAGAGCTTTTCAAGTTAATATATTAGATATCTAACGGCACTTTTTTCCCTTCATTCTGTTCATACTCTAAAAGTATTATAGCTGAACCCTTTTTATTTAAACATTCTAAAAAAATTGGGGATGATAGAAGAACTAAAGATTTCCAGCCTGGAAGGTAAACTTTCCATAATACTATAGTTGAATGTAAACAGGGATAGTGCAATACATTCTACATATACAATAGTGTTTAGTGGTGTTGGTGTTTTAATAATTTAGATGTCTAGACAAGCTGCCCATTGTTATAACTCACAGCACAACTAACTCTGATCAGAAAGCTGCATTAATATGTCAGTGTAGCATGCCTGATCTCATCAAATTATGCCTTTTACTTAAGGAAGTGAAAATGAGGGTGGTCATCAGATTTTGTTACAGAGATGAGCTGTTGTACAGCCTGGAGGCTTCTGGTGCCATGTATAGTTAGTCCTTTTCTTATAGATCACTAATGAAAAACAACGAAAACCCTTTGTCTATCAAAAATTATGTATCCATACAACTCCTTGCCAGCATGTCAGTTTAAGTGTAGAAGTATAGAAAATGTCTATAAATCAAAATGGAATACAGTGTTTGACATCTGTGATTTGTGAACCTTATTTTTCTTTCAACTTAAAAGCTACCATGGATCTTCATCTGGCTAATAAGGCAAAAAAATGTGCATGCTTAATTTTCCAGCTTATTCGTAGAAGAGCTGCCCAATCACCGAGACTATCATCAATGTGCAGTACCAGAAAAACAAGATATTATTAAGGTATTACTTTGCTTAACATTTCATAATTTTCTCTTCCAATACAACTGATGGATGTTTCCCAGTATGCTTTTTCCCTGACTGCAAAATGTTGCACTCGGTTGATAAAACAGTGTTTAACCGACTAGTTCTTAACAGCATTGTGTATCGGCCATAAATTTATCATTTAAATTTAACAGCTTGATCATGGCTGGAATTCTGAAGATGGTGAACAAATTGCTTTTATTCATTACAACCAGTGTATACACTCTTGGAAGCTCAATTAAAATCTCTTAAGAGTTATGTATATTTTTAGATATGCTGATTTAATAATACTTAGGATCTGATTCCACTTCCACTTAAATGATAGCTGCTGCCTGGTCCTCTTACTGATAAAAATATAGGGATTCGTGGTATTATTATTATTATTATTATTAGATAGTATTAGGTAGATTAGTATTATTAGTAGATTATTATTATTAGATAGGATTGTTAACCAAAGTATCTTCTCCTTTAACACCAAAATATGTATTCTATTTTACATTTGCATTTTTACCAAAGTATGCTTTTGCCTACTACTATATTGGTTTAATTTTAGTTCTTTTACTGCAGGAAAGGGCAATTATTTTGGGTGAAGGGCTGCTTACTGAGTTTTGGCAAGCCATCAAGGGCTGTATGACAGGCAGCCAGGGGCAGATAAATATTAATTTTCTAAATTTTTTAGGGGCCCCACAGAACAGATAGAATAGCCTGGCAGGCCACATCTGGCCCGTGGGCCACATTTTACCCACCCCTGCGTTAAAGGGTTTTTTTTTTTAAATATCTGTTTTTGAATTAAAAACACATAGAATTATCCCAAAAATTTGCTGAGACATGGAAAACTGTCTCCCTATCAGAAGTTTGTGCATCCTGCTGCTCTGCAGTGATTCCTAAGTGATTCTGGAAAGGTGCATGTTGTTGCCTTCTTTATAGTCACTGACATCTCTATGCTGAACTGATTGTACTTAAATCTGCTAAAATGCCACATTGATTGGGTTTGAGTGAGGTTCTCCAGTGTAGTTTGGATTATTTTTACACTTTTTTCCCCACTGACTGCATATCTAGATGGTTTCTTGAATTCAGTAGGACTACTGCTTGCATGAGTAAAGTTAGCAACCAGATGGCATTCAGATTTTTTCCGAAATTCGTCAGAAACTTAGGTTTCAGGGAGATTGAAAGTGGTCGGGAATTTTGTCAAATTTGAATAACAGTTTTTGTCAAAAGAAAGAAGAATTACAAACACCAAATGCTCTGATTTTATATTTTGAAAATGCATTTTCATTTTGAAATTGGTCAAAAACTTCTTTTAAAAAAGGGTTGGGGATTAAAATCCCCAAACAAAACTGCACATTTACTTTAAGTTAATGTTTGTTTATTGCAGTTTTCTTTCTCAGGAGAACTGAAGAATCTTTTTTTGAGTTGACTTGGAATGAACTTTTCATTTTTGTTTGGCTCCCAATTCTTTCCATTAGTTCAAGTTTTTTTAATTATGACCCTTTTCATGATAAGAACCCTGCTTCAAATTTTTATTCTGCTGTGGACCTTAATTCAGGAAAACTTTTCAATTGAGGAAACAAAGTATGTACATGAGAACTGTTGGAAACCACTGGGGTTTAAGTACGTACTTCAGTGTTTTCCTTAATAGGGGTCTTGAAATGATCCTGCAGTGGACTTTGTGGGAAGAACCAAACAGCTGACTAGAGCCTGTTGACTTCAGTGGGGCTCAGCAAGGACCTTTACCAAAACGGAGGTGAATACTAGACACAAAAAAGCATGTCAACCCAACCCAGTGCCATGATATGTGGAGATACTATTGCTAGCTATGAATGAGCAAGCTTGGGTGCTGGAAGCGATCTTCTTGCCCTGCTGAGAATCAGGGTGTACTTGCCTTTCCTGTGCTCAAACTATTGGTTGGTTCCTCAGTTGGTAACAGTTACCATTGCTTTATTGAAACCAGTATACTGTGCCAGTGTATTCTAGTTGATAATCTGGCTTTATTTGGTTTATACACTTTGAAAAGAGGTTTATTATTCAATTTATTTAATTTCATTTTGAAATGATTGAAGTTTAATTTGTATTACAGCTGGTTTACCTGCCCAGCTGATTTTTTTTTTGGAAAGTGAAAAAGCAAACTTACATTTTTTTCCCCCCCACAAAAGAAACTAAAGGAGGTTGCATTTCCAAAGACAGATGAACTGAAGAGGGATCTTTTAAAAAAATATAACATGGAATACCAAGATTACATGCAAAACAAAGTAAGTTTTATCCAGATTCAGTTTAATTTAAAGCATTATCTGTGTTTGTTTGTTTATATCTAATATTTTTTATAAGCATCAGCATTCAAATGAGAAAAGCAGTTGTGTGAGCAAAAATGTAAAAAAAATTATGGCAATGTAATTGAGAATCTATTCAAACAGCCTCTTTCTCTTGAACCTTTAATAAATTGGCAATTGTGTGGGTAGTTAGAAGTAAGTAATTGATCAAACACTTCTGTATTTAATAAAATTAGTCAATATCCAAATATGCCTTTTATCTGTTGTGATAAATATCTCATTGTAGTTTGGTACACTTGTCCTGTTATATGAAAATCTAACGTGCTGAATAGGAACTAATATGAATGTGTGGAAATGGCCTTATTCTGAGAATAAAAATGAAGTTAGAGCATAATAGAATCAGGATACCTCTGACTCCTACCATAAATCACGGTGATGTGGAAGATATACACGGCTAAGCCAGGTTTCATAGTTTCATAGTTGGTAGGGTCGGAAGGGACCTGAGCAGATCATCAAGTCTGACCCCCTGCCATGGCAGAAAAGAGTACTGGGTTCAAACAACCCCAGCAAGGTTGGTTGATCCTGTGGGGGTATATGCCTAATAGCAAAGCATGTATAGGACTGCTTACACCTTGTGTAATAAAATCACTGGAAATGTGTTTGTAGCTTAAAAATTTGTCTGTAGTGGAGCTTCTGGAATTTGCTAGAGGAATCCATGTTCCTGTTCATAAGTTGAATCCATGTCCCATTCAGTATATTTCATCATTTAATACTGTTAAATATTTCATTCAAATTGTCATTGGATTGGGAAAGTTTGGGTGATGGCTCTTAACAGAGGTGGAAAGAAACCTGGAGAGTTCCTGCAATTAGCAAAATATCTATTGGTCCTTAGGAGTACAATAATGACCTACATGGCAGAGACAGAACAATGCACAGTATAGAAAAATGCATCTAAAACAAAGTTAAGTCTCCTGGGCTGGGGACCAGTTCAAGGAAGTTAGTGAGTTATAGGAGGAAAAAAGCAGGAGCGAAGACCAAAATAAAATAAAACCAAGCAAACAAATTAGCCACAATGAACAGCAGAACCAGAGAGAAAGGACTAAAGAACGACTGGATTTCTCACACTGCACTAATAAGGGCCTCTTCTTTGTATCCTTCATCTCAGCAACATGCCTCTTTTTAGGCTCTTATTTTTTTCTGGTAAAGTATAAGTTGCTCAAGGCCAAATGCTTATTACTATTGAAATAAATATATACAATATCAGGGGCTGTGCAGAATGGGAATCTTGTGGTAACAGTCCCTTATAATATATGCTGTAGTATCTTAGAGCATTTCTAATGGTACAACTTTTTGATATTTTGACTGTTGTATGCCAACAGAGTCATTATGGTTTAATAATAGCAGGGCTTGAAGGAGTGATTTAACTAATCTGTTCACTAGCTTGCCCTTCACTGTTTTGTGGTTCTTTTTTACTACTGTGGAGAGAATTTGACCACTCTGTTTATATGCTTTCCAGAACAAATGTAAAGCTGAATATCTAAAGAGACTGGAGCATGAGAAATTGATAGAAGCAGAAAAGAAGCGAATTGCACATATGCGACAACAGCAGATTGAATCAGAACAGTTTCAGTTCTTTGAAGACCAACTTAAGAAGCAAGAACTAGCCCGTGATCAGAAAGTTAAAGAGAATATGTTTATGTCTGAACAGATTGATGGGAGTATGCTGTCTTGCATTTCTACATGTCAGAACAACTCCTTATGTCCCACATTATCAGAGAAAGTTAATCAGAGTGAAACATCGGTCTGTGCTGGACAGTCTCCTCCAGTAAACCGGGCCTTCAAGCCAGTGGCTACTTTAAGCGCTGTTCAGAGTAAGTGTCTCAGTCTTTTGCAGTGCTCCTCTGCCTGTCACAATTTATTTCAAAATACACACAAGAATATGTCTTTCACTGTAGGCTTTATCCTAACGTGAAGAACGTGTGTTCCTGGAGTACTTGTATATGAATCCACCATTGTTTTCTCCCTTGAAATGGATACTTACTGTACATTGACCCATATGGTATCTTAAGCACCCAAAAACCAGATCTGCAGATATTAACCTAAGTTGGTGTCACTGAATTGAGTCAGAATTTTGCTGTAGACTCAGTGGGAGCAAAGCCAGGTCCATGGTGATTGCATTTTTTAGAGGTTTGGAGGTTTTTCATTTTTGTTGTATTAAATACAGTCTAGAAGCTAACAGTATGGTTTTTTACAGAATGCAAGTTGGTTAACTTGTTCAGGATTCATATGTCTTCAGCAGAAGAAAGATTATAGTGTTGTTATGCCTCTAGAATCTCTTATTCTAATCTAGAAATTGCGTGACACACATTGCAATTTTCATTTAAAGATTCACAACTATTGTCCCATTCAGTTGATTAACTATATACATGTTTTCCATTAGAAGATTTTACACTGAAGGCTAAATTATATTTTTCTCTTCTTTTAGCACAAGTGGCTGAAGCACTTCGAGGTGTAGTTTTACCCAGAGACCTTTGTCCAAAATTTCTATCACTGGCCGAGGAAAATACAAAAAGAGGAATAGAAACATGTGGAATTCTCTGTGGAAAACTGGTACAGTTAAACCTTCACATTTGTATGGGGAAGGCACTTTTGATAGTACTGCATTTTCATGTAAGGAACTGATAAAAGAGCAAAAGCAGATCTAAAGCATAAGTGTGTAGTGTAATTAATATTATAACATAACTTTATGGGCCTGTCTATAATTCTTTTTGAACTGTAGTCTACTATTTGCCTTGTTGCAGAATTAATTGATCAAGCTACCGTATAGTCATTGTGATGATGTATTGTTGATAATCTTGTATCTTGCATACAATTGTGGGATTTTTCAAGCATTTTCCATGGTGTTCATCAAAAATAAATAAGAATTAGTTGCACACAACAACTGGATATGTAAAAATGTTAGAATGTATTGCTGTCGTCAAAATGTAAAAAAAACACTTTGCATATAAAGCAAAATTGTTGCTGATTTTTTTTTTTGCCTGTGTTGTGCTCACTTAGTTTTGCAGCAGTACTTAATTATCAAACTTCCCTCACAGCAAAGAAGATTCCACTACTTGTGCATGCATACATGCAGGAGTATAGAAGAGTTTCAAAGCTGATATCAAATAGCAGTAGAAACACAAAAAGCAATATTAATAAAAACAGTGAATTTATTTATATCCAGGTTTCAAAGAAAATGATTATATTTATGTTACCTGCTTCCATATTTTGGAAAAAGTATTCCTTTTAACATTTTCCTGTGCACACCCATGTCAAGTATATATTGACTTTCCTGTGTTATCTATTGCAGTGAAAAAATCGATAGCCATAGGCTCAGGTGGTATAAATCAGCGAAACTTCATTCAAATCCATGGAGCCACACTATTTTACCAGCTAAGAATCTGACCTGTTGATTCCCTACTGAGCATTGTTCATTAATCCATTTGTTCATCTCTTAATTCAAGTCATTTTCCCATTACGTGTTTTACAGACACACAATGAATTTACTATTACTCATGTAATAGTGCCAAAGCAATCTGCAGGACCAGACTACTGTGACATGGAGAATGTAGAAGAATTATTCAGTATTCAAGATCAGTATGATCTCCTCACTTTGGGTTGGATCCATGTATGTATGTCTCAAGGATTTTGGTTTTACCATGTTGCGTGCATATGCTGTATTTATTAAACCAACCCCAGAAATACCAAAGGAAATAATTTTCATGATCTAAACCTGTTTTCTTGCCTAGTTTTCATGTTGACAGTGTAAGTTGACTGACTTAACATCTGTGGATGACATTTATTATTTATTCATGAGTTATTTATTCCGTGAGTTATTGCATTAACTTATTGAGCTCAGTTCTACCACCAATGCTTCTTTTTAGCTCAGGGGTGGGTAAAATATGGCCTGATGACTGGATCTGGCCCACTGAGGGATTTTGTTCAGCTTTGGTTCTGCCCAGCCCAGGCACAGGGGGCAGCCTGGGCTGTGGTGCATAAAGCCAGTCCTGACACCACCGGGCATGCAGCAGGGCTGGGAAAATGAGGTGGCTGGACTCGCTTCCTGCTGCTGCTGTCCCTGGACCCAGATCTGCTGCCTGGGCACTCTGGCCCATCCACTTCGCACCCACCAGCAGGGCGGGACCCACACAGACAGGGCATGTGGTAGGCAGATGGGATGGGTCTTCAATCAGGCAAGGAGCAGTGTTTGGGGGCAGGAAAGACAGGCAAGGGCAGGATCTTGGGGTAGTGACAACACGGGGCCAGGGCTGGGGCAGAGCCATGATCCCCTACCCACACACCATGTCACAGACACAGGTTATGTGAGCAGGGGCTTGCAGATCGTGGCTCTGCCCTGGGCCCCCACCCCATGGTGTCACTGCCTCACAATCCCCAGACCCAGCCCTGGACACAGCTCCCTGCCTGCCTGCAGCCCCATCCTGTCCACCTGGCCACTTGTCCTGTCCACACAGGTCCTGTCCGGTCTCCATAGAGGCCCTGGGATCACTTGGTGGTGACAGCATGGGGCCAGGACACGAGGCAGAGCCATGATCCACTCCCCACATGCCCCTGCCTGCAGGTCAGGGGCTTGTCGCAGGGCATGCGGGCAGTGGCTCATGACTTGGCCTCAGCCCCAGTCCTGCACTGTCACCAGCCCTAGCCGCCCATCCCATTCCTGGATGCTGGTCCCCACCCACCTGTGGCCCCATCCCAACCAAGCACCCCAGGAGTTTTCATGAGCTGTTGTGGGGTCAGGGGGTGCTCTCCCAGCTTGCTTCAGCTCACCAAATTCCATTTGTGGCCTGCAGCCCAAATAATTGCCCATCCGTGGTATAGCTCAACAGGAGCTGTATATATGTATATGGAGGCAGGATAGGGCAATGTCTGTTCTCAAGGGCAGTTTCTTTAAATTTATTTCCTATTTGATGTATTTCAGCAGGGAGAAGAGCAAAAACTGTGCTATTGCTATTCATTTTTATACAGGGCCCACAAATAGTACAATCATTTGTAGCAATATAAAATTCTAAGTATGTAAGAGAAGAGCATATTCCTCACTGAATTATATGTACTTTCCTCCAGGCTACTTACAGGTTTTCAAACAGTGGAATTAGGAAAAAGTAGTATTAGGCATTATTAGTTTTCTTCAGAGAAGGTAAATGATTTTTCAAAATCCATACTAAAAAAATAGAATGTGTGCTTTCATTTAAAGATCCCTTTTTTTTTCATTTGTGTCAATGAAAAAAAATAAGATGGCAAATCCACCAAGAAGCAAGCAGGCAAAAGAAGTTTGAGGCTTTCTTTTATTAGAGTATCTCTGGATTTTTTTTATTTCCAAATTGATTAATATGACATTCCATCGACTTGTCAAATCAAGAACTAAACCTAATCAACTGTGGAAATGAGTAAAACATTTAACTGGTAATTGTCCAATCCCTAATGTTTTATGGTTTGAATTATTAATGGATAAGTAATATCTGACCTCTTCAGAGTGTGGGGGCCTGGTTTTTATTTTACTTAAATTAGTATGAATTGGGAACAACTCCTCTGAAAGCCAGGGGAAGCGAGATCAGGATCAGACTGCCAATATAGAAAATACCCGTTTACTGTTACCTATACATTTGCATTGGAACCAAATGGCAATGATATGAAAAGAAATTTTTGTACAGAGATAGCATCAATCTGTCTTATTAAGTTTGAATGGTCGTGCTTCAATTTTTCCATAGGTATCAATTTGTTACCCTTCGATAGCACTTGTAAGTGTTTACATTCTACCAGTATTAATTATTTAATGTATGGCCTGGATTTAACACATGGTGAAAATTGAAATGAAGTCGTTTCCACACTCTTCAGTATTTTCCCCACACATTTTTCATTCTAGGATCTTTCCCTTTAGTCAGAACATTAATGAGATGCAAAAGCAATGTAAAATTTCCACTGAGTTTGCTTTCATCAACCAGGCCGTCACAAATGTGCTCCTGAGACTGTTGTATCTGGGTTGTGTTTGATTTAGTCATTCATGATAATTATCCTCTAAAGTGTGTTGGGCTGGGAAAAGTTTAAAATTTAATAGCAAATTAAAGGAATTGAATGCCAATACATTTTCCCCAGTAACTAATTCCTGGGGTTTTTTTAAATATATTGTGACCTTGATTTGTAAGAAATATTTTTACTGTGTAGAACTTTCCCTTTCTTTTTGTAGACTCATCCAACACAAACTGCATTCTTATCCAGTGTTGATCTTCACACTCATTGTTCTTATCAGCTAATGTTACCAGAGGCTATTGCAATTGTTTGTTCACCAAAGCATAATGAGTGAGTTCTGTTTTTCTAAGTAATATTTAGCTATCTCTTCCACCCCACTATCTCAGAACTAGATGACATATAAAACAGTCTCTGAAGGTCGAACAGGGTGAAGGGCGAGAACAGTTCTAATATATTTGGCTTCTTTTCCCTGTATTGTCAAGTTCATCTTGATATGCATTCCAGTAAGATCTCCAGGCAGTATTCCTTCTTGCTTCAGTTTTCCCCCTTTAATATTAAAATTTTGTAAATTCTTACAGAATTCTTATGACAGCAGTTGGCTGTGGCAGCTCCAGCCCTTTTGGATCTTATTTGTCAGTGATTTAACAGTCCCAACTCCACTGTTTGGTCAATCAGGTGGTAGTATGAAAATAGAAATTGCAGTGTAGAGCTATAATGTTTTATACACATTCTTTTTCCTAAAAAGTTAATAAACAATGCAGAAAAATTAAAACAAATCATTTTAAGCTGATGTTAATATGGGCTCAGATTATTACAGATATTTAGGCATTGCTCTGAATGTAACTCTGACATTGCTCTGAATGTGAGGGTACAGAGCTAAAATCCACAGAAATAAAGGCTCTAGTGAAGCTGGATACTAGGCAGTCAAATGTAAAAGTCAAGGGGAAGAAAAGGAGCAGGCAAGAGGGATTGAGGTAACCTAGGGTCTTTGTCTTAGGGGCAAGTGTTTTTTGCCATTAACTATTGGGCAAAAGGTAATGGCAGTAACACCACATCATCTTCTAGTGAGCTACATGTATGCTCTCCTTGTCACACAGTTACTTTCAGTACTCTGTCCCCTAAGAAATCAGGACTTTAGGTGCCTCCCCACAATGATTTGGATCATACCAGAGTATAGGTGGCAGTGAGGCACCAGGTGGCTAGCCTAGCTCATTTCTGAGCATGTGCAGTAGTCCAAATTTTGGATTTTTTTTTTTTTTAGTTAACTTCTGATCAAGTCATTTTGTGGTCACTAAACAAAATTATTAAGGCTCATGCTTTGTGACTTAGGTGTCTATATTCTTAAGTTTTGTGCAGGCACTTGCAAGGTTGATTAGTACCTGGCCTCTATTACCTGAGTTTCTGCCAGTAGCTATGAATCCAAGCATTCAAATTCTGATAGAAATGAGCTACTGTCAGGAGACATTTTCAGAGTACTTATGGGACTGAGCCTTGTACAAAAGACAGAATGCAGAGAAACAAGCCCTATTGCTCAATAGCCTTGTTATTTGGACACTCTACAGGGATGTGGGAGAGCTGGGCTCAAGTTTGTGATCACAAATTACGAGAAACACTTTGTATTGCATGTTAATAGCCTGTTTTAACTAAAACATTGTTTACTAAAGCATGTTGGATGATGTGGATTTGTTTAAAATGTCCAAGCAAATTCTTTGCCTTGCAATTCTTAAATGAGTTTTGTTCTTTGCTTTCCAGCACTGGCATCTTCAGACTTACAAATGCGGGTATGTTTGAAGTTTCTGTCTGTAAAAAAAAGGGCTTTCATCCACATACTAAGGAACCTAGACTATTTAATGTAAGTATGTTGCATTTAATATAATGGAATGAATTAGGGGGGTTTTTTGCAAGTGCTGAGTACTGACTGTGAGAAGCAATTTCAGGATGGATTTTTTTTATATTTCTCCCCTTGAAATATGTGGATTGTGTATAGCCCATTGTCTTTCCTGACTGATCAGTGCATTCCTAATATCTACTTCCAAGAGCCACCCATTTCTGCTATTTGCTTCTTGCCACTGTTTGGGAGGAAGAGTCCAGTAAATGTCGTGGACCACTCAATAGAAACCTGTGGGGTATGCTATCAGGTAGAAAAGGAACATTTCTCACATTAGCTCTTTGGAAGCTCCCTGAACAGGCTGCCCTCCCTCTTCTCCACCCCCACTTCCTTTCTCAAAGCTGGACAGGATGCCCCTCTCCAAAAAAAAGCAGAGGCTGCACTGAAGTTTTGTATGGCTAACAAAAATTCAAACTGGATTCTCCCACCTGCCACCTCTGAGAAATCTGCATTGCTGCTGACTAACCTATGAAGGTTAAGCGTGTTTAGACTTGGCACTTGCTTCTCCCTACTTTCTACCAGTCCCCTCAAAGTTAATTCCAGTAACCACAAAATGGCTTTTCTGTTTGGCATTTTAAGGCTCTACCATGCTGTTTGCATGACTGAACTGCTAATAATGAGAATCTGCGAATGAACAATAAATAGTTATTAAACATTACCACAAACGATACTCATTTGTTTATTTGAAAGCCAACTTTCCTTATCTTAGTATAATTTACAAATATGGTAATAGGGCTCTTTTGTCTTTATTTGTAAGTAACCATTGAGAAATAAGAACCAATAAGGTTACTATACTTATGCCTAAATATAAAATGCCAAGAAATGGGGAAAAGTCTCTCCCTTTCGAAGGGGTAATGGAATAAAGGACACCAGACCAAGTGTCCTTCAGGGTGGAGTTTTCAAAAGTTAGGCACTGGCCTAAGTTTGTTCTGATCAAAAATAATCATAGTTTTTCCATGGACTCCACTGAGACTAAAGAAGATTTAGTGATGAATATCTTAAGTGGCTTGAGTTCTGTTCTGTTATCCTGGCTGCTGTCCTTAGGTTTTACAAGAGTGCTAGGTATGTCTGATCAGAGCCACATAATCCATTCCATTCTCTATAGCAAGCATCAGGCAAACAGCTGGAATCACAAAATTTCACAATACAAAAAAAGTAGTTCATTCTATCATCTTATAAATTGCCTTTCAGCATTGCCAATCTGTCATGCTCTCAAGAGAATCTGCATCCTTCAAAGTGGGTGCCTGTGCTCTGTAATATTTTGTTAAGAAAAAAGGCTATACCTAATATATGACATTTCAGAAGGACCTGTTCAAAGTTTAGTTTATGATTTAAAAAAAAAAAGTCTGGCTGTTTCCAAACATGCTTGGACCTTTAAGGCTAGATTGTTTTTTAAGGCACCAAGAACATTTTTACACATGCAAGCACTGCAGCGTTGAGTGCTTTGAAAAGCACCCAGTGCTGCGTCACTTATAGTTGTATAAGTGGCAAAATATTCTGTGTGTCAGTGTGCCCAAATGGTGGCGGTCCACTTTTGAACTAAAACACATGGAAATGTTTTCATTCAAAAGCACACTGCCACCATTTTATCCACACTACAACTGCAAGTGATGTAGCGCTGTGTGCGTTAGCTTGCGTGCAGAGCAGATTTGATTAATCAAGTCTGCTCCAATGCGTTGGATCTCTGGCACATCCAGCCATGAAAATGTATGGGTAAAGAAGTGAAGTGCTAACTCCACCCGTCTAGCAACAGTCTTAGGAGACGTGTTGCCTCAGATATCACTATGAAAAACAGAAACTACCCTCTCTGCCTATATGCTTCTCACACAAGCTTGGTTGTGTTAGAGGTTACTTTGTTTGGGAGAGGTTAGAGTGTAGGTTTCTCTCACTTGAAGCCTCCACCCTCCTGTTCTATGTGAAACAGTACGCTCACAGCTTCCACTGTGAAACATGGTCCCAGGCAGCGTGTACTGGGGCATAAAGAACTATAACGTGTATCAAAATTTTACTCCTACGCACTAAGGTCTTCTTTTTTTAATTTTGCAGGTGTAGCTATTTTTCTATTCAGCTTTTGGACTGAACTTGTGTATTAACAGGCAAATGACAGAGGCAGGATCACTTGTACATACAGGAATTATATAAAATAGTCTTGGATGTGTAATAAGAAATAATAAATCATGCATCCTGTTTCAGTCCAGTCGAATTTAGCAGTGAACAAAAGTTGTTGCCATTTAATAGTTGTATGGGGACATATGTAAAATGGTTTGGTTGTTTGTACGCCTGCTGATACTAAATGAAGTATTCCCATCACAAAACCATACTAACAGTGCTGTTTGGCATCCTTATTATTAGCAGCCCTAACAAGGATATCAAGGTATAATATCACATACTACATACCTTTTCTCCCTAGTGGTAGTGTTTACCGTGTCCAAATTTATGAATGTTGGCAGAGTAGTGTAAGGACTTGCATCGCTGCCAAGTATAGAATTTCTGGTGATGAATGGAGGATTTTGACCTCCAAGGCTGTTGGTCAGCAGCTTTTAAAAATGACTGGAAGCATTATGCTGAATGAGCCCTATTGGTCTTCATGGAGAAGAGACTCCAAAAGAAAATCATATAATGTATAGAATTCTTCTTTCCTGTCTAGCTTTGGAAATGGAATTGATTATCACCAGTTAATTTCTTACGATATATAGACGATACCTACTTTCCTGTATTGGTTGATTTCAATGAGTAATGGATTGATTTCTTCTACAGACCTGTGCCCATGTAGTTGGGAAAGATGTTCAAATAATCATGCGGGATCTAAGGTGATGTGGAAGGAAGATAAAACCTCCTACCTAACAGGTGCCCAAAATAGAAAAAATGGCTGTTATGTTTTCCTACAATGTTTTCAGGAAGGACTGATGTTTTATATTTATATATTTTACATTTAATGATTTGATATTTATTGCTCTTGCCCATTTTGAAGCTATTTTATTGCCGTGTCAAGATAGAGTTCAGAATGTCATTAAATCGGGATCTGCAAATGTATCTGAAATAATATAAGACCGCAATAAAGTGAACTTCAGACAACAAATGATGATGCTGATGAAACTGGTACAGTGCTTCTGAGGTCACTTTGCCTTGCTTTAACTTCTCTCTGATCTACAGATTTTTAATAATGGCTTGTCATATCTTCCAGGTATGTGGATTTTTAGTGCACATATATTAGGTTACAAATGGCAATAGGTCAATCTCAAACAACTTAGGCCATAACTGTAGAAGCTGCAGAAGTCATAATTTCTTTAAATAATTTTTGGACCTGCCTAGACACCCAACATGAATTTTAGCATGGCTAAGAGATCTGTCTCAGGTTAAAGAAGGGAAGAAGTTTACTAAGTATAAAAATTTTGTTCCTACACAGGGAACTTCTATAGACATTTGTTAAGATATGTGTTCTGCATCTTTCTGAATACCTGGTACTAACCTCATCATTTACCATATTCAGATACCACCTCATAGCTAGCCATCATCCTAAATGCTGCAAAAACAAAGTAAGTAACAGTTTCTGTTGCAGAGCATTTTGAAAAAACAAAACAAAACAGGTGAATGCATTGAATAATTGTTCAACTGGAGACAGAGGCATTCAGGATAGCAAAAAATAATAAGCCTTGTGGATCCAAAACAAAAAATGAGTTGCCAACTCAAAACACACCACACATCCATTAGGATAATGGGTGGTGATTTCTATAAGAAACCTACTCTTCAGAGTATTTCAAAAAGAAACAGATGTTAAATTTTCAAGGCAGAAAATGTAGATACGTCACCTGATAACTAGTGAGAACTGTATACCTCAGATGTTAGGGTTACATAAGCAAAAGTACTTTAATTTTAAAACCGGAGGTTAACCTCGATTAGTTTTACAGAGTAGCCAGCCAAAAACCACACCAATCAGATAAAACTGCCAGTGTCGGTTCCAGTGTCAAATGGCTCCTGTGTGAAATGGCTCGTATTCACTAGATATTCAGATTTGGCCAATTCAGGGGACTGTGATTCGATTAGGTAATTCAGGTCAATCTCCTGAATTGATTCGGCCAAATCTGATTCGGAGATTCGGCTACTGCCGAATCAGCCAAATCTCCGAATCACACAGGCCTCATCTCCTGCTCACTCTCAATGGCTGCCCCACCTGCCCCAGCTCCCAGCTCTTTTGGGGGAAAAAAAAAGCCCCAACTCACTGGGTGCTTCCAGGCAGAGGGGCAACCCCCACTGCCCCACACAATGTTGGGGGCTCTGCCATGAGCCCCCTGACCCTTGCCCGCTCCCCCCATAGCTGTTCTTCCCCCCCCAGCTCCCAGCCATTTAAAAAAAAAAAAAGCCCTGACACATTGGCTCCTGCCTGGCCGAGGGTGATCCTCGCTGCCCTGCACTGCACTGGGGCCCTGTCACGAGCCCCCAGAAGCCCCAAGGCCACTTCAGCAGCCGATGAGTCAGGGAGAGGGGGTGTTTTTTCATAAAGGGCTGGAGCTGGGGCGGGTGGGGCAGCCATGGAGGGGCTGGGGGTAGCAGGCAGGGGTTGGGGGGCTTATAGCAGAGCCCTCCTTGCAGTGGGAGACAGCAGGGATTGCCGCCCTCCCCCCAAGTTGGGTGGAGGCTTTTTTTTTTTTTAAAGGGCCAGGAGCTGGGTCGGGCGGGGCAGCCATGGTGGGGATGGGGCTGGGAGACCAGGCAGGGTCAGGAGTGCTGAGGGGGGGAGCAAGCAGGGGATGGGTCTTGGCAGGGGTCCCCCCATGGTCCCCTCCCCCCTTCTCCAGCCTCCCTTCCCCCATCCCCTGCTTATTAGCTTGGAGTCCGTGTCCAGCTCCTTGCTGCAGCCAGCACGGACTGCCTGAATCCCCAAAGCTCTCCGAATCTTTTCCGAATTGATTCGGAGAGCTTCGAATTGATTCAGACCTTTTAATTGGTCCCCTGATTCAATTCAGATTCGGAGATTCAGCCACTAAATCAGGCTGAATCTCCTCCAAATCGAATCAGCACCCGAAGTTTCACACAGCTGTACTGCACACTGTGATGTCATGCATTCACAATGAAAGTTCCAGTCCAGCCTAACTGGAAAAGTTAATTAGGAGTGGGCAAAATATGGCTCGTGAGCTGGATCCGGCCCAAGGAGTGATTTTTGCCTGGCCTGCAGTGAGTCTCTTAGCCCCACCAGGCAGCACAGGGGGACCTCCATGCCAAGCCAGCCCCCAGCTTGCCCTGGCGGCAGCCTTCATCCACACCAGCTTGGGGTGGGGTGGTGCAGGGGCAGCAGCAGCCCCTGTGAAGTTGCATCTGGGGCCAGGGCTGGCAGCCAGTCTCCATGGAGACAATGTATGGCCAGGCAGGGAGCAGCATCTAGGGCTGGGAGCCAGTCTCCAGGGAGACTGAACAGCCAGGCAAGGACCTGTGGAAGCAGTGGTCAGGACCCAGCCGGGGCCAGGGGAAGCATGCAGCACTGGGGCACCCCTGTCTTATGCCAACCTGCAGCTCACCCTGGGATGCTCATGCTGTGGTGGGAGCCCCCGGCCCCTCCAGGTCCTGGCCACTTTTCCAAGTGATGGAGTCACTGCCAGGTCCACCTCCCTTCCTCCCCTTCCTGTAGGCTGCATACCCTGGGTTGTGGGAGGGGACTGGTGAGTAGGGGGAAGGCGGCTAAGTTTTCCCCCACTTGGTGGGCTTGGCCTTGACACGTGGCTGTCTCCTGCCCCCTCTTTGTCCTCCTGAGCCTCCTCCATAGGAGTCACATAGGTGGAGCACATAGGTGCTGCAGCCCCACAGTGAGGCTTAGGGGTGGCTTCCAGCTCCACCTTGACTCCACACTATCACCACCCCAAGATAGCAGTCCTGGATGCAGCTCCTAGGAGCCATGCAGGCAGTGTGCATGGGTGAGGAACTGTGGTTAGGGCCAGGGCTGGGATCATGAGACAGTAATAGTATCGGGCCAGGGTGGGGCAGAGCTGCCCTCTGCTCCCTGGATGGCCCTGCCTGCAGAACCCATGCCCACCTGTCCTGCTCCTGAGCACAGCTACCTGGGGCTCCATCCCACATTGGGAGCTTTTGTGAGTTGCTGGGGGTGGGTGGGAAGGAAGTTGCTGATGGCCTACAAGAGGTTACCAAGACAGTGCATGTGGCACTCAAGCCCAAATAATTGTCCATCCCTGGTTTAAGCACACTGCTGAAGTATCTCCTATAAGGGTAACATTTGGGGCTTTTATACATGTGCATGGGGCCACTTCTGAGCAACCATTCCTTCCAGCCCTTTGATGAGACCACAAGAGTCCAGTGGGTCAGCAGAGCACAAGAGCTATAAATGAAGTACTAATTTGGTACCCACATTCATCTGTTTTTGTGAAAACAGAGGCAGGACTGGCTTACTGTGATGATAAACTGATGCCTCCATTCCATTGGCATCTCTGAAAATCAAGACTCTTCTGTGGGTGTCAGAATATGGCATGAAAATTAAAATGCTGTACCTGGCAAGTAAAGGGTTTGGACACTAATATTGTACTGTTCAAGTGAATTGTACTATTTCAGACAGTAGACTAGGGATTCCCAACCAGACTGTAGTGACACCCTGGGGTACTTTGAGATCCTTTCAAGGGTGCCAGAGGATGCCACATGGTGTTAGTACAAGTTTACAGCTGTGATTCAGAAAAGTTTGCAAATACAAATCCATAGGTATGGTCCTTCTGAGTTCTTTGGCAACAGAAAAAAATGCTCTGCTATTCTGTAGCCAAAAAAAAAAAAAAAAA